CCAGTTACTCAAGAAAAATTCTTATCAAATCGAAATAACAAAGATATGCTCATTAATATGTTAATTGAAAAATTACAAGCTGCAAATATTACTACTAAACAAGCCAGAGATAATGCTGATGTTCTTATTGTTGAAACTGCAATTGAAGAATCAAATTCTGAAAAAACTGCAGTTATAATAGGACAAGATATTGATTTACTTGTCATTTTAATTGGGCGTACACTGTCTTACGAACAAGACATTTTCTTTAAAAAAGTTGGGAAAGGAAATGTAAAAACGGGGATATACTTGACTAAAAGTTTTGATAATTATCCTCATTCCAAAACACATATTTTATTTCTGCACGCATTAAGTGGCTGTGACACAACTTCTGCGCTTTTTAAAAAGGGAAAAAATCATTTTTTAAAGTTTTTGAGAAACTGACAAATTTGAATGAACTAGCTGCAGCATTTGAGAAAGAAAATTGTTCGGCCCAGAGATTATTAGAGAGTGGAACTCAAATCTTATTGGCAGTCTATAATGCTCCGAAATCTGTGAAAAGTCTCGATCATCTTCGTTATATACATTACGTCAAGTCTACAAAACTTAATTAACCTGTGCAGCTTTCAAATATTCCACCAACAAAAGCAGCTGCTCATCAACCTTTCAAACGTGTATATTATTAAATTCAAACTTGGTTAAGGCATGATTTGGAACCCCAGGTATGGAGTTGGGCAATGCGAAACGATTTTCTGGAGCCTATCATGACAATTTTACCACCTGCTCCAGAAGATTTGCTAAATATAATTTTCTGCAACTGCAAGAGTGGTTGTGGTTCGCGATGCTGATGCAGGAAAGCGGGCTTGCAATGCTCTTTAGCTTGTGGCCAATGTAATGGGCAAGCTTGTCTCAATGCTCTACCATATCAGAGCGACATTAACGAAGATGGAACCTTTGACCCCGAAATCATGGAAGAACTTGAGAGAAATGTCGTTGAAGACGATAATGAAGACCAGTTTGAAATTTAACAGCAGCCGGAAGACGACGATGAAGAGGAAGAAGATTATTAAAATTATAAATTGTAGTTTTTTTACCTTTTATTCCATTTTTTTACTTTAATTAAAAATAAATGTATTGAATGAAATTTTTTAATAAAAAGATTAATTCATAATTTATTTGTTTTTCATCATGTAAGAATTTATTAATATTAATTAGGTTAAAATTCAAATATAATTCCTATATTTTCATTAACAATTTTGCAATTACATGGGCAGGTAAGTGTTGTTAAATAAATTAATACTAAATAAAAAGTGGATAGGTTAGGGAAAAAAATGATAAAATATAATATAATAGTTAATAAAAATTGACAAATATTTATAATCATTGATTTATCGATATTTCATCAACTATATATGGCGCGTTTTCGACCGGAGGCACCGGTTGACCTGAAGTGATGCTGTGACCGCGCGCTCTCCGTCATCTATCTCGAAAACGGTTCACCGTATGATAAATTTTTTTAAACAAAATTTTTAGAGAATTTTGTATTCTACAATATTGATAATAAATACAAATAGCAAAAAACCCATAGGAAATGAGATATTTACAAAAATAGCGCAAAAAACCGATTTTTTTTGACCTTTGACCTTGAAATTTATTAGATGCGTACACCCTACTATATGTAGGTTTTGAGACAACTTTTAGGGTGTCAATATACAAGTATTTACAGACTTACAGCTGGGTATTTCGAATTCCGAGGTGAACTTACTATAATGATTGGACTATTATACAAGCATAATTCTGTTAATTCAAACAGTAGAGTTAAGACAAAGTTACATGAGTATTTCGTCTTAATGAAATCGCTCGATTTTCTCTTAGAAAATACCGACCGGTATTTTAAAAGATATTATTTTTACATAGAATTAGCAAAAAAAAGTATTTAGAAGGGATAACACAAGATTAAATGAATATTTCGTCTCAATGAAATCGCTCGAGTTCCTCTTGGAAAAAACCGCCCGGTATTTTAAAAGATACTATTTTTACATAGAATTACTGCAAAAGTATTTAGAAGGGGTAACACATGTTCTTTCCTGTATAAGTCTAAACAGAAAAATCTTCAAGAATTCCTCGACTTCCTAATGATCTATATTTATGCAAGAGTAAGGAACGTCTATTTTGTTAATTCAAACAATAGGATGATAAAAGACAAGATTAAATGAATATTTCGTCTCAATGAAATTGCTGGATTTTCTCTTAGAAAATACCAACCAGTATTTTAAAAGATATTATTTTATTTTTATCACGATTTTTTCAATTGCAAGAAATATGACGACGACAGCGATGTTGTATAATACGATATCCAAACAAACTTTATTTATGGGATATTTCGAGGGAACACATTTATGCTTTGTTGATGTTAACGAATATAAAATATGGTTAGAATGTAAAATATTGATTGGTAAACGAACCAAAACGAATTATTATAATTATAATAATTATAATTACTTTAAAATATAATTGCATTGTTTTATAAAATAAAGTAGTTTATTTTCGATATTCAGAAGGGATAACGTACGTTTTCCCCTGTATAAACAATATTTTATGTTAATGATGAAATATAATAACAGCCTACCTGTTGATTCTTCGTCAGAGCTATACTCTTTTTATTTGTTCCTGTAAGTGTTTCACCTAACTGCCTTAGCAACTTTGTTTTGCACTATTTTTAGCATTTTTAATTTTTAAATTCACTTTTAAATGAATTTAAATGAGTAGGTTTCAAGGAAACTACAATGTAATTATATCAATGACAAGCGAAGGAAAATTATTTATACATTGTGAATCTAAACTGAAAATATTTTTAATTGTACATACAGTTCATCAAATTTCTAGAGGCTTTCGACGGCTAGACAGAGAAAGCACTACTGACAGGCATCCCGACGGATTTACGCAATGAAAGTACACTCTGCGCATCAAGTATTTCACTATTTCATTCAGACGTAAATGTCAGATGTAAATTTCGCTAAAACATTTCTTTTATTTTCGTTTAATAGAACCTAAGTATGGAGTTTAATAGCAAATTAAGAGGCCGCGTGATTAACAGTCAATCTCGCGAAATAATAGCCAAAGTTATAGAGTTTATGAGAAGAGAAGGAAACTTTAATTCACCTTCAATACCATTTAAAAATGTAGATGATCGTGTTGCTGCAGCCACAGGAGTATCTAAAAACACTGTCGTCCGCATTTCTGGAGAGAAAAAAAGAATCGATAACCGTGAGATATCGGAATTTTCATCACCAAGAAAAACCATTAAAAAACCAAAAACAGTTAATGATATAGATGAAGCTGCACAAGAATCAAATTTTATTTTTTTATTATTAGATAGCTATTTTTGTTTCTGAGTTGTGTTCATTTACAGGCTCAATTTTTTCCGTTTCTCCTTTTTGATTTTATATGGGGTTTCAAGTTGTTTTTGACTTATTTCGACGTAAATCACAACAACACACTTTGTTAATAAAGCAAACAAGTGTTAAGAGGTATATGTACGTGTAAACTACAATTACAAAAAATTGATATGAAACCCATGAAACCACCAACAAAAATGTAAAGCTAGCTTCCGTACTAGAACATGGTGTCATTCGTCGAGATAATTTATCGTTTTGTTTAATAGATCAAGAAATGTAAATATTCCCCTGTTATTTTTTATAAAATTATAAGAGAAATACATTTTTTTCTAAATAGTATAGTTTATTATTTTGTAGAAAAACAAAATTTCGAAAATTTTAGTAATGTTTCAGAAACAACCGTTATTAATAATAGGTACCATTTTCCTTAATAAGGTAGAAATAAAATATAAACTATTTCCACGATTTACAAAGGCCTACAAAAAAATTATAGGTATTTTCCGCTATCCTATAAAATTTATATTTTCTGACTCAATTTCAAAAGGTTGAAGGAATTCCAAAACACCTTTTATGGCATAATAATTATTTTCAATTCTACATACTATCTTTAGCTGCTTTTAAAAACGTTCTAAGAAAGTCCAATCAGACCAATTTAATCCCTAAACTATTCCACACTTTTAAAATTTAATTACCTAAAAATATTAAAAACTATTTAAAATAACTTGTTTAGCAGACTGTACAATAGCTATCTTAGTCACACGTAGCGCGTTCTCTGTCTGGGCGTCGAACACCTCTAGAAATTTGATGAACTGTAGGTACTGATGTGATAATGAAACATATAGTAAACGTATGTATGCAACAAATTCAATGTAGCTCGTAATTTTGAAAATAAAAATTTTGAAAATCTTAGCAATTTTCAACTTTAACAACCTGTATATCGAAAATCAGTGAACACAAAGTTTTAGAAAATTAAACCGGTCGTCACTTTACATAAGGAAAATGCAGGAATCCTTTGGGTAATGAATGTGTAAGTTTGTAAGACGCAAAAACAATTCGAAGATCAAAATCAGAAAGGATTACAAGAAAAAAAAAATTTAAAACAAGAAAAGGTTCATTGTTATTGTTTTTTATGTTTATTCAATAAAATTATTTTCAAATTACCCCAACCCTAACCTTATAAACTCTTAAATTAACCAGCCTTCGATAACGTTACACTAGTATGGACAGTTTGTACGATAATATCATGAAATAAGCAATAATAATCTGAACCATGGTACAATTTGAATTTAGTCATCTGGCAACACTGGTGATGGAGCAGTGAGTATGAGAGCACTCTCCTGAGTTTGAGAATAGGACTACATACCAGGGAGCGAGTATCTACTATCGACGATGTTGATTTCCTACGTTGGTTGCCGACAACTTATATCTCGTAGCATCTGACTCATACAAAAATACTCAGTATATCAACTACACCAGTAAACATAACATTTTAACCACGATTACCTGTATCAAATGTATAAGATTATTTGATTTGTTATTTCTTCTTCGCTTTTTTTTTTATTTTTTCGACATTTAATTCTTACTTATTGGACGTTGCCTAATTGTGTTTTCCTCTATTTTTAGTGTAAATCAAATTTTGAAAGAAGTGATATTGTTCATTACAAACACGAAGGCGTAGGCAGTGGTTTGGACCTAAATTTCTTGATAGATTCTTACGATATTAAACTAATAAATATTAAAAATTACGACTTGAAAACATCCGGATATCTTCAACACGGTTTAGAATGGGAAAACGAAGATGTTAAAGAAATATCTGATAATTTACAGTCAAAAATACAAGAATTAGATGGAATAATGAATAAACATTTTGTTCTAAATATTGAAAAGTACAACAAGTTTGTAGACGAAATACCGAAAATTGATGTTAGTTCGCAAAGCGAAGAAATTCAAGGAAAATCTGATAGTAACTTTTTTAGGTTTGTATTACATCCATGAAAGTTAGTGATTGACGTATAATGATAAGTATTCTAATTATTCTGTATACTAACTATTACTCTTTTAGATTAACTCCTCAAAAAATTTTCAATTTTTGTCACATTTCTGAAATAGAAGAAAATATTAGGCTCAAAATTTTGCAACTTAGAAATCAAAAGGAAATAGAATTTGATGGAATGTTGGTTCCAAATAGAATTAAGGAATTTCCAATGAATGTTTTATCTCAATACATTAGGTAAATATCTATAAATCATTTTTTTTATTTATTTGGAGATATGGAATAGTATATTACATTACGAGTGTGGAAAGTGACATTTTCCACACGTGTGGTAAATATTGTCGCACGAGGCACAAGCCGAGTGCGACTATCGCACGAGTGTGAAAAATCACTTTTCATACAAGTGATGTACAATATTTTTCCTACGACCACAAAATAATTTTATCAAAAAATGTAAAACTAGGTTATTATTATAATAATTAAAATGTATTTAAAAAAAAAATCGTATTTTTTCAATTTTCATATTTTCTAAACAAAAAAACTAAAAAACAAAAAAAAAATAAAAAAACGAAAAAAATTCTGCTCCCGCAAGGATTTAAAAGCGGGCGCTCGCCAGGTTTCAAATAGCAAAGTTAATAAAGTTTAATACCACCTGAGCTAATAGGCCTTGCGTCAATTGAATGATCTAATCGGTTATGTGTTTAACCAGAATAAAAAGCAAACATAACTTATTTATTTTTATTTTAATAATAATTGTTAAAGATAAATATCTAGGATCTAATTTACAACAATTTCAATAATTTAACAATTATATCGATTTTAGTATCAATATGGACATCACACAGATCAAAATAGAAATGATGCGTTTGACATTTTATGACAGCTGATGCGGAAAGTAGCATATTCGCACACGAGTGGAAAGTAAATTCTTATTCATACGCGTGTGATATGTGTCACTTTCCTAAGTGGTCGTAGAAAAAATAGTTTTTACCTAAATTTTAAATATAGAAAAATTTATTTTAAGTTATTGAGTTATATTTTATTTTATTATTTAGTATAATACGAAATCAAAGAAGCATACATTGCTTTTTAAAAATTCCGTTGACTCGTGAAGCGTATCTGAGGTCTTCTTTCCAGACTCTTTACATTGACTTACACGTCCATTAAAAGACCTATTTTAACATACGTTGCAGTTTTCTGGGTACCGAAAACACAGTAATTGACAACGATCTGCAAACTAGAACCAATTCAAAGAACAGCGTATTTCAACACAATACGAGTTATAAAAAATACAACAAGCCATGAAAGTTATTCTTAGTCTCACTTCCCTTGATAAAAAGTGAACACCTTTTTAAAATTACGAGCCGCCAGTCAGGAAGGCTGTTTTTATGACAACGAAATTGTCTTCGCAAGGTTGAAATACAACCTGCCGGAGGATCCAATAAGGTGAGATGTAGCTTTTGATACAAGGCGCTTGGCACGCTTCCACTTCTTCAATCACGATCTTCCTTTATTTCCAGAACCTTAAACCTAAATATATAATGGTTTGTGAGCACTAGTGCCAGCATAGTTCAAACTGGGCTTACAAGGATTCTAACACCAAAAGAAATTACCACAAACAACATTACTAAAAGGAGCAGGCCTATCTATACAAGTAGCAGACAAGTACTACTCAACCTGGACAGACCACGAATTTGTTTGTACTAGGATGTCACCAAGCCTTGGTAGAAGTATCCATTTGCAATATGCTCTTGCTGGTTTATAAACCAAGAAGGCAGCTAACCAAATACTTTTGGACCTAACCTTGAACTAATATCATTAGTAGTAGCAGTCTTAATTAAAGAACATCCCCATGTGAAATTCAAGGAAAGATGTAATGGAACCAGAAGCTGTTTTCGGGGTAACTTAAAAGGTCCCTAACAACGCTACAGCAAACAAAACTGACCAGGCATATTATGCGCCTGATTACAGGATTGGATAGCACGGACTCCATGTTTTATGCTCATAAAGTCCACACTCTATAAGGGTTGCAAACATCATGTCAGGACAATTTGCAGTTGGTCTAGTAAGTCTTGCGTGCTATGGAAATAAGGGAATCTCCCCTACCTTACAGATATAGAGATAAAATTTTAATATAAGCTCAAAATATATTTTAAGAAATGTTTTAATATAAGCATAAAATATATTTAAAAAATTACTTTTGTTATGAATGGCTTTTCAGAAGTCGATTTATCTGTAGGTACAGTAGAAAAGTCAAATGTGTACACCAAAATTTGACATCTTTTAAAAAACATTGTAAAATCAATTTTCAAACATTCCGCAGAGTTTAACTAAGGCTCAAAAGTCAAGTCTGTAGCAAAATTGAAAGAAAATTGATATTTAGGTAAAGTGGCTGATAAATTAAATGTCAGTAAACGTTGCTTATTTTACGTTAAGAAACGCTGGCAAAAATAACAAAGATTGCTAAGACCTTTTACATAAGGTAACAAACCTTTTACATAAGGTAACAAGGAACGTCTCTAATGAATATAATACTCTCGTAGAATAATAAATAAATAGGATGGCTTAAAAAACTGCGCTACTGTCCACAAAGTTTTTTCAACTACAAAAAACAAGCGCAGAAGAGTCCAATTAGCAAATAAATGTTTAATTCACGAAGAGGAATTTTACGTGGTATTCTCCGATGACAAGCCTTTTTGAATCAATGTTTGGTCGTGGATAAACGTTAGCGAACCTGAAATGTGCTGTCAAATTGATTGGTGATTAACAAGAGGAAGTGAACAGAATAATTAATTAAACAATTAGTTAATTAATTGTTTTGAAAAATAAATAATCGATTAATTAATTAATCAAAAATAATCAATTAATTGGATATTATATCAATCAAAATATACTTTATGTCAGATCAAATCAATTTGATTGACAAAGCATTAAAATATAAAAATAAGTAATTATAAATAAATCCAGAGTAAAAAGTTAAGAAATAAAATTAATATTAAAAATATTCAGTATTTGGTACATTATAATTTGAACAGAAAAAAAAATACAATTTAAAGAGTAAAAGGTACACTACAATAAATAATACAATAAAATGTTTACTAACTAGTAGTCAAAAATGTCATTAGATCGATCTCCTGTAGGTTAAAGTAAGCCTTTTTAATTAATAAATGACACTAAATAATTTGTAAGTAATTGGATTTTTATGGATTGTTGAATTTCTGATCACAGTGGAGTGAGAGTAAGGAATTGGAAGAATCAAGTTATTGTTATTGTCTTGGCTTAGATGATATAACTAAATCACTTTCATGAATTAAACTCACTGCCTCTAATTTGAATAGGCTAGTCAGTGTTATCATGTGGTGTTCAATAAAAAAAGGTTTACAGTAATCTTTGACTAATAATTTTACAGCCCTCTTCGAAAAACAAAAAGTGACTCCAGAAGACATTGTAAGCTACTTCTCCAAACATACAATTCCATACCTCAAATAGGATTCCATTAAAGCATAATAAACTGTTTTTGCCATCACTTGGACTGCAAAATAGCACGAAGCTAATTTTTTGCTAAGGTTCTTGATGTGTTCATTAAACTTCAAATGATTGTCTGTGTAAAGGCCAAGAAAATTGGAGCATTGCACGTTATCAATTTTATCTTTTAACTTGTAAGAAATCAGTGTAGTATTACAGGATAATTATTCAGTTCATACGGCTCGAATAGTAAGAACATTATAAATGTTTTGTCACTGACAACAAAAAATCCTGACATGAACACCAATAAAAGTGTATGGGACCTCACAGTCAAAAAGAGGCATATAAAGTGTGGTCAACTATGGGCAGTTATTAAAAATGCTTGGGAAGAGCTCGTAGATTCCTATGACATGCGAAATTTAATTTTGTCCAAATTATCATTATGACTATTCTTGCTATTGCTGATAAATTTTGAAGAGAGCATTGTCTTTATAGAGACCTTCCTTGCACCTTGACTGAAAGATCTTTGCAATCTTTGTTTTTCTTGTCAGGTTTTATAACCTAAAATAAGTAACTTTTACGCACATTAGCATCCACTCCTTTTAAAGACAAACTTTCATCCAATTTTCCTACAGCTTTTGATTTTCTGTTATAATAAATATACGCATTTTATTTAATTTTTTTTAACTAATAAACTGACTTTGTAATTTTATATTTTTCAATTTTTTATCGCACATCTATTATTTATAAAACCGATTCGAGAAAACGGCACTAATAAAAGTAGTATTTGTATTTTTAATATTCTCTCATGTCTTTGCAACACCACTGGGCAAAGCCAGACCTAAAATATTCTATGACAATCAAAGATCCTTCACATTTGGCTTGAGCCACCTGTACTTAATATGCCCTAACTCTTTGTACTTTGTTTTTTTTTAAACTTGGTTTGCACTTCTGATTGGCTACCGTTCTCACTGTATATTTCCTATTCATCTAGTTGTTATGTAAAGACTTTCAAGTTTTACTCTAGTTGCATTTGCAACTAATTTTACATATTTAAATTTTATAAGAAGTACTGATCTCGATTTAATAAAAAATTAATAAAATTAATTTCTCATTTTTTGTAGAAGAAAATCTGGGGAAAGGCAAGATGTTAACTACGAGGCAGCTGATGATTTTAAAAGTCAATATTATTTCGGAAAAAAATATTTGCAGCAGGTTCACTTAAAAGTTTTCCAACTTTGTAAAAACACAGAAAATAATTTGGACTACGAAAGTGTTGTTAACGAAAAATATTTCATATATTTTCAGTGAGTATTCAACAAAATTTATTCGAATTGGTACCGTAGTTCTACGAATTAATAAAATGAAGACCTTTTAATAGTTTGAGGGACCAGAGCAAAAACCCGATAAGTAAGAAAATCTAAATATGAGAGATATTGACTTTTAAATATTTATTGTTTTTTGCCCCTCTTTTAATTACAAATTAAATACTTTTGATAGTTTACCATATGTTAATTTAGAATAAATAATATAACGATTCATCCCATTGCTTTCAGTTTTTTTCTAAATTAATGTTTTCTTTAGATTTACCGAAATTAAGATAACAAGGCGCCGACTTAGGATTTTCCCTCTAGTGATTATTAAGGGTAAGTTCGGTTTGGAACCCGACGGATCGTACAGAGCGCGCACGGAGTGCGTGACGTCATAAACAGAGTTCGCTCTTTTTACGATCTCAAGACGAACACAAGGGGAATGACAAATGACAGTAGTGATAGTTTGCATCTGAATACACTTTTGTGTGTTTATGGACTATCAAAAATTAATTTTAGTCAAATAGGAAATAAGATATAACAAAAACAAACAAGAAATAATACGTGTAAAACCGATTAATCATAGATCAGAATATTGACGTTTGACATTTTTGACACATTCCTACAGATACCCGTTGATCTCCACTGCTCTGTATGCTCTGAGTGCCAAAACGACCACATTTGAGGCATACTAAGTGCACTTTGAGTACAGCGAACGCCAAACCGAACTTAGCCTAAATAATTGAAGAATGATCAGACCACTTGTTATCTTCTAATACGTAATATTAGTGTGACAGAATAATAGGTCCACAGTTAACTTCTAACCAAACTTAAAAAAAAAAACATTAAAAAATTTGACATATACGTTTTTTGCATGTTATCTAATTACTTTAGGAATATATTTTAAAAAAGTTCTTAAATATATAATTTAGGTAAGCAAAATGAACAAAACTCACTTAAAAAGTCGACTGCCAGTGAAACCATTATTACTTTATCACTAAATTAGCGGGTTAGGTTTTATTTTTAGTAAAAAAAGTCCTGAAAAGACTTAAACCCAAGAAATTATATTTCTTATCCTAATTACCTAGATTAAAAAACTAAAATTATGAAAAAACAAATTTAGTTCATAAGATTTTTGTGTTGGGTAAACGCAGAAGAATGACTGGGAACTTCCGTAACACAATTTATTTGACAAACTATACATAAATTAAATTGACAACTTTGTTGTGCTTGGTAGACTAGTAAACTAAATAATTGGCGAACTAAATACATAAAGATGATTTTTAACACCCCATATCTAAAAACTCAACTTCTAGTGACTTGACATGAGTTAAAAGCTTAGCTTGTAAAGAGTCTTTTGTGTATGGATATATTTAGTTTTGATTTCTTTCTTTTTATATGCTGGTGTCTTATGTCGATGGCGCTGGTTCATGAATGATCGACTTAATTTGGTGTTAATTTTCTGGCTCCCTAATTGTCACACTAAAAAATTAACTTCTCTCAGATTTTTTTTAAGAAAACTGCCTCTTTTCTTGCTACTGATTTTTGTTTTTGAGCTTCCCAGATAACAGCAGCTCCACCTAAAAAGTACACAAAGCCTATGTATGACCTATCGTTTGGGTCGCCTTTCCAGTTGGCATCTACATGCAGTAATGTGGGTGTTAGTTTGAAAATAAATTCAAACTGTTTAGTTTTTCTTAAATACCTTAAGATATGTTTTACAGCTACCCAATGGCCTGGACATGAGTTACAATTAAACTGGCGCAGAACACTCACAGCATATGCTTGACGGTAAGGGACATTTTTAGGACCCACGTCCTTGGTCAGTTTTATATTGGCATATATATGGGTATCAGCTGTTCTACAGTTTTCCATGTTAAATTTTATTACAATATCTGAATTGTATTTATTTTAGGATATTGGTATTGAAGCAGATTGTTTGAATTTAATTTCCAAACAGTAATATAGTCCGCCCATCTTATATTTTAAATTTTAAAGCCATATTTTATTTTAGTTTGTTGTAAAATGACCTTTTTAGAGATAATCCTTGTCTTTTTCTTCTTGTAGAATATAGATCTCCTTTTTGAGGTCTATGTCAACGACATCCATTTGGTACAAGATTAAACCTAATTCAATGGATAAGGAAAGTGACAAGCTAATAGAACTTTTTAGAGTAATTGGTGATGTTGCTCAATGGTATTCTACATCGGGTTATGCCCAAGTAACACAAGAAGCCATAAAGAAGCTTGCAAGTGGATTTCGGTGCTAATAGCAAAGCTAATAAGCATTTAAATCTGGACACCAAGTCTTCTAGAAGTAGTCATCATTACGTAACCGTGGCCAAAAGGGAGCGCGTGATTTGGCACGCAAGAAGAATTTGTGGCTTATTAGATTTTATGCTATTAAGCCACGGTGGCCAAAATTGGCACTTTATGCGTTTCTGGTGCTTAAAAGCATTAGCATTATAGTCGATTTTATGGCTAATATTAGCATTTAGTGCGATAATGAGAAGCTCCTGTTTGGTCAAGATTTAGCTTTCACTGCTTAAGGCGCGCATGCGTAAATAAAACTTAATAAAAATATGCCTGTTAAAATCCAATTAGAATTATAATGGTCATATATTGGCAGTTTTGTTTTTCGTTGACCAAAACAACTGTCCTTTAACTTATTAAGTATAGTGATGGTAGGCCATTTTCAATAAATGATAAATAGGTCATTAATAAAAATGGAAATTAGAAGTTTGAGTTACCCAAAATCATTGCGAATCTTACTTATTTGTTAAATATGCATGAAATAGTTCTTATATATAAACGGGCCATTACGTATTTAATAAAAAGCTTGATTTATAAGTTAGCTTGTGATATTATCAAATGCGGTGTTGTCAAAATTAATTTATAATTTTTTTTATAATAATTATAGTATAGTTGATATTAAACATAATATTTTGTGTTTCCTTTTTGACAAACATATTAGGTAATTCATGTAATGGATACCTAACTAGGTATACTATATACTATATCCATTAAATCAAGAAACGCAACTTTAGGATAGTCGATGAACTCTAGGATAGTTGAGGAGAATAGAACAAATCTATAGAAATTTACTTAATAGGTATTAAACAAGTTTTGATAATTGCGAGTACAAAATAATTCCGTCGCTCATTAGTAATGAAAATGCTCACAAATCTATCGCAGATACTTTACTCTAAAGTAAATCGGACTAAAACCAAAAAAATATTTTTTTTACGAATCTTTGTAGGTATTTATCTATTTTTACCTCTCTGTATGCCGGATATCCCATATTAGTACGTAATTGTTGGAAATATACTTATTAAATACGAAAGGTGTACTTATTATCGTTGACGACTATATTTTAAAACTATTTCTAACGATACACGCTGGTCACTGTCATTGTGATATACCCAGGGGAGTAAATTATCGACTAAAGAATTGTTCCTAGGTACAACTATGACATATTTGACATGACATTTTTGACTTCATTCTGTCATATTAGCAATGAAAATATAAAATTTGTCAAATTAGCAAAGGAAATATGACATTAATCAATATCAATTCTACTATAAAGTCGAGAATCGACACCTTGATGTTTTGGAAATTGACGCCACTTTTGTATTAAATTCACACTAACTTTAATTTACACTAACATGCCGTCAAACATGATGAGACTTTTAAGATGAATAAAAATATATTGCTTCTGCATTTTTTTTATCCTGTATATCTGAAAATAATTTTAAAATAGATATCGTCAACGAGATACATAACGTGACGCATATCTCGGCATTCTTCATCATTCATTTTAAAGACAAGGAAAATATGTTTCACGAAAAAAATAGGTCAAAAATTAAAAAATATTTTTTTCTGCACCCACATGGATATTAGCTAATCTACGCACAGAATAAAAAACGAAAAAGTAGGCCATTGCGTTCAACTGAACGAATATATTTCATATCCATTCTACCTTATAAGAAAACTGCCTGAAAATGAAATCCGCCAATCACAGTTCATATTTTGGACACCCAACTACTATTATTTTTAATATTTTAAATAAGTGACAATCCTGTCAAACTAATTGGCACTATATTTTTTAGTTGTTGAGATTAAATGTAATTAAAAACAAGTGATTATTGTGTAGAATCGATAAAAAAATAATAGTTCACAAGATATTTCGTCTATATTTACAAATAAATCATAAATTTTAATTAAACTATCTAAAAGCAGTTTAATTAGCAGTTTTAAATAATATATTGTCATAAGTGTAATTGGCTCAGATATTAGCGTACCTGTCTGGCATGCAAGGGGTCAGCGGTTTGAATCCCGAATAGGTAAAAAATGTTTTTTTTTCAAAGTTATTTTATTTTATTTTATAAATTAGAAAAAGTAATAAATTATTATTCAAATTCTGATTTTATCTTATTAACCTCTAAATTAATTTTTAAAATTTGTAGATTTTCAAGTGGGTCGTAGAAAAAATATACTGTACAACTCGAGTGGATTGTCCATATCGCACTCAGACGATTGAGCACTCTGTCATCGTGCTCAAATTTCGTCTTCGTGCGATATGAGAATCATATCCTCTTGTTGCACAGACTACTATTGTATTCATTTCTAAAAAGCCTTCTTCGTTTATACATTTTTTTTTGGATTTCACGATAATTAACTGTTATCCAGTAATTGTGCATTAATAATGGGGCACCTCGTAGGGTTCAATTAAAATATCTAAATTTTTCTTGGTACCTATATATTTTCAGACGCTTTGGCAACACAGTTAAAGTCGTAAATGAACGGGTCATCCATGTTTGTCTGGAGCGTCAACTAAGCAGTCATCGATGCCAAAATGAAGCTCACTGGCATTGTATGCTAATTGGCTACCGAATGTGCTGCTTGGAAGCTTGAAAAATTAAAATTTGTGAGGTTATGTTAAATATTAGAATTTTAAGGTTGCGTATAAGATTGCGACCTAGCAGGAGTGTCACAAAT